CTGATACAAATTATTTATTTATGGGAGATTATGTTGATCGTGGTTATTATTCAGTTGAAACTGTAACATTATTAGTTGCACTTAAAGTTCGTTATAAAGATCGAATAACAATTCTTCGTGGTAATCATGAATCTCGACAAATTACACAAGTCTATGGATTTTATGATGAATGTTTAAGAAAATATGGCAATGCTAATGTATGGAAATATTTTACAGATTTATTTGATTATCTTCCATTAACAGCTATTGTTGATAATCAAATATTTTGTTTACATGGTGGACTTAGTCCATCAATTGATACATTAGATCATATTCGAGCATTAGATCGAATTCAAGAAGTTCCACATGAAGGACCTATGTGTGATTTATTATGGTAAATTTTCTTTTTTTACTAAAGAAAAATGTTTATTCTAGTAATATTCTTATTTACATAATTTAGTAGAAAAAAAAAGTTTTAAAATTTCACTATAATGGGAAATTATCCGATATATAAGGTTATTAGACAAGAGTGAAGATGAATTTCAATTGATGCGGTTCTTTCTCTAGTATAAATGATAGAAGCTTCTTAATTGATTTGTTCGCCGGAGATTGCCTTTTCCTTCTGTTTGCTTTTCAAACCGGCTTTTATTGCGTCGAAAATGGTGTAACTTCTTTTCTAGTTTGTCGATATTTATTAAAGGTGGGATGGGCTAAAACTTCAATAGAAACTCGTTTTTTTGTTAGAGTGATGAAGGAGAAGGAACCAACGAAGCCCACCGTGACCGGGCCCCTTTCATGATTGACCTTCCAATACGATTCATATCGCAGCAGCATTATTTGTTTATTTTAAAATCCGGTACAACTAAGAAAATTTATCGAATGTCGAAGTCTTTTAGTTAGTTCGAATTCAAGTAGAGAAAACTTGTAGTTATGCTGAAATTCATATTTAAATCTGGTTGTTTTTAAGGTCAGATCCAGATGATCGTGGTGGTTGGGGTATTTCACCTCGAGGTGCCGGTTATACATTTGGACAAGATATTTCAGAAACATTCAACCATACAAATGGTCTTCAACTTGTTTCACGTGCTCATCAATTGGTTATGGAAGGTTGGAAAAATTTTTATTTGTCTATAATGAAAGTGTTTTTTTTTTTTTACTTTTAGGTTACAATTGGTGTCATGATAAAAATGTCGTAACAATATTTTCAGCACCAAATTATTGTTATCGTTGCGGTAATCAAGCAGCAATCATGGAACTTGACGATTCATTAAAATATTCATTTCTTCAATTTGATCCAGCACCACGTCGTGGTGAACCACATGTAACACGTAAAACGCCGGACTACTTCCTTTAATTTATAGATGAATATAACAAACGAAGAAAATTCGCTTCTCTCGGTCCCCCCTCCCTTTCTTTTTTTTCTTAGACAATTGTACACATGTTCTTTTCTCGGCGTTTTTTTTTTTTTTTTTTTTTATAGAAAAATCTTTTCTTTCTTTCTTTAGGGTGAAATGTTTAAAAACGAAAGAGAAAATTCTTAGGTAAAAAATTCACTTTTTTCTCTGTCCAGGTCAGCAACGTGCATTTTGAATGCTATTTATTCATCGTAAGATTTAATCGCTGTATGTTGTTGTTTGGTTATTATTATGATTATTTTTTCTCAACGTGCATCTCTGAAACAAAGAAAAAAAAAAACAACAAAATGATGAACATTCTTTCCTTTCTTTAACTTGCGTTCGTTACTATACATATTGTTTTTTAAAATACATGTGTAGTTTTACGACTGTTAGTTGAATGACAGTTTCAGTGAATCGCTTTTTTTTTCCTCTCTTATTTTTTTTTTCGTATATATCCTTATAAATAAACCTGACAAATTTTCTTTTTCGTTTTCTTTTTCTTTTTCCTATAAATTCTGAGCGATGTTTTTTTTTCTTTCTATGATATGAAAGATAAATAGGATCTGGTAAAATATTTCACTCAGTCAAAATGTAAGGAACCTATTAGACGCCTACATTTTGCCCTAGAAAAGCTTTCGATATTATTCTAGATAGATTTAAATTGAAACATGGTGTTATGCTTCTCTTTCTTCTTCTTTTTTTTTATGTCTATGAAGTAGCAGATCTCGTGACAAGGAAAAAGATGTTAATCGTTATAAGTCACGGAATGTCTGAAAAAGGAATGTGTAAGGGATGCATTTAACATAGATTTTTCTTTGACTATGACAACGAAAAATGTTAGTGAAGAGCAGAGAAAAATTTTTTTTCCATATAGACTTAAACATGCATTAATAATTATTCACGAATATATATGTTAGGCTATGATATCTATTCTATATATCTTAAGGTTAATTAATATAATATAAAAAAGAAAATATGTTGATTATAATTTTAGATCTACCATTCTTTTTTTTTTCTTGATTCTTAAAATGTGTTTTTATTAAACAATATACATATTTCAAATGACTGTACAATCAAGAATAGGCGAAGAAACTAAATCTGGACAATATTCATCGAAAGAACTTGATACATGGATTGAACAATTAAAAGAATGTAAACCATTACAAGAAAATCATATTAAATATTTATGTGAACAGGCTAAAGATATTTTATCGAAAGAATCAAATGTACAAGAAGTCAAATGTCCGGTGACCGTTTGTGGTGATGTACATGTAAATATTTCAATTTTTTTTAAATTTTCTTTTTACAATTATCAATGAAAGAATTTGAAGAGTTTTGTTTTGTTTTTCTTTTGGAAGTCAAGTAATCCGCCAGTACAAAAATTATTTAGTAAAACTTTTTTTTCTATTGCCTTAAGCGCTAGAAAGAGAAAATATTGCTTTCAATATTCATAACTCAGTTTTTTAGTGCCAACAATAAGTAAATATAATTTTGTTTAGATTATATAGAATGATAGAGCAAATTGTTTTCTACAAAATGAGCCATTTTCGAGATCTCTACGAATATTTTTAGTTGAGATACAGCAATATTATGGAAGCCTTTGAAGTCTTTTTCTTACTATATATAAAGAAGACGTTGTTGAACTTTGAATCAAGTTGTTATATCTCGACTAAAACATGTCGTAGAGAAATCGGAGATGTAAAATTTTGTAGAGAATTTTTATTTTGTTCTATTCTGGTAACTATAAATCAATTTAACAGAATAAAAATTTTTTTTGTTCTTGATTGTTTATTTTTTTTTGAAAGTATAAAATATAAATGTCTAAATTTAACAATTTACAAGACGTAAATTAAAAGAATATTTGTCGATTCTCAAACTTTTTTTTTTCCATAATCGAATATTATTTGTGTCTGTTTATTAATAAATCTATCATGTAAATTATTTGAATTCAAAGTTGATATTTATACTGTTCTATTGAACTTTAATTTTCTATTACAACAACTTTTATTCTATTCCTATAATACTTTCCTCCTTTTCATTAGTAGTAGAGCAAAGGCTATCATAAACTCAAAATTCTTAGATGTTTCCTTAAGGGAAATATGGAGGTCACAATGACCGAAAATGTTCTCGCTTCGCATAACTCTATATTTTATTTCTTCGAGCTATAATTATTTTATGCCAATTAGTATCCAAATCGGTGTGCGTGGTTGTTATTTTTTTTTTTTCTTTCAAAAATATCGTTTTTTTGAGTTCAGGAAACGCAATATACTAGATGCACCATCAAAAAAATGTGTTTTTTTTTCAATGGTACTAATTTTTTAATGTCTACCTAATTTCGTAGGAACAATATTTTGAGAAAAAAATGTCCTGTATTTACTAGGATTTTTTTCTCCCAGTAATTTGATCGAAACCTGATGAGTTCATGACCTATGTTGTAAGCACATTCGGAATGAAAAAATAATCATTGTCATTAGAGAAATTTTGTATAGAAAAAAATAATCGTAGTGTGAAGTGTTCTGCTGGTGGTTTCGAAAGTTGGATTTAATCAAAGCACTAAATAATAAAGAAGACTGCTCATTGATATGACATTTGATAGAGTACACTTTGGAACTGTATCAGCAATGAAAAACTAACAAATACAAAAAAATTTTGATTTAATGTTCTAAAAAGAGAAAGTTCTTAACTCTTTCGAGACAGAACACATATATAGGCTTTCTCCGTTCCAGAACATTTCAGATCTACTGGATGTATACTAAGATCAATAGCATTGATTAGAAATGAATTAAACTAGTTTCATTAGTTTGTTTTTTTCATCATAAGAAATATCTTTTTTTTTTCTCTGTCTTTTAGGGACAATTTCATGATTTAATGGAACTTTTTAAAATTGGTGGTAA